TGACTGCATGCCATGCTGCTGGCCTCCTCGAGCCGCCCGGGCCCTGGCTGGCCTCCCAAGTGTCCCGCCCTCCGCTCGAACCCGTAGCTTGGGAGTTCGATGCCCCTGGCGCAGGGAGGCGGCGCGGCACCAGAGGGCTGCCTTCCTCCCCCCCCCCTCCCCTCAACTCCTCGCCCTCCACGCCGTCCTCACCCTCCCGCTTCTCGTCGTCCTCCTGCTCCGCCTCCTCCTCGGTCCTCTTCCTATTCTCTGTCCTCCTCCTCCTCCTCCTCCTCCTCACCTCCTCCTCCTCCTCCTCCACCTCCTCCTCCTCCTCCTCCTCCTCCTCCTCCTCCTCCTCCTCCTCCTCCTCCTCCTCCTCCTCCGCCTCCTCTTGAGCCTCCTGCCAGAGCGCGCCGGGGCGCCCCGGTACGGCCCTGGTTCGCACGGAGCCCACGTGATACGGCACGAGCAGTCTGCTTTGTCGTGCTGCTGTTCCTTCACGCCGTTCCCTCAGCGCTCGACTATAGGATAGCTTACCTTGTCCTTCATAGTAGGACACGGGTTGATCACGCAACACATGAATCCAGGAGCCACAGGTTTCGACGCGTCGCGAGCGTGAGTCGCATGAGTATGGTTCGGAGTCGAAGCCGAAACCACATTCGAACCATGTACATGCGTGATCCATTGCATGATCCCTGGTTTGCATGCTTGACTGCCTGCTTGCATGATTGCTTGCATGTTTGATCGCATGCCTCTTGCTGTTTTACTGCGTGCGGCGTGCACGCGTGATGCGCAACTGCGTGCTCCTGTAACAGCATAAGCAATCGCGTTCTGCCAACAATTGACATCAGGAAAAAATACGGGCTATATTTCGCAGCATTCAAAGACTGACCTCGCAGGGCGGCCGGCGACGCCTGCCAAGCACGAGAGACCCAGACAACGCAAGCTCGAGCTGACGCGAAGCTGCGGAAGCGGAGGCGCGCCCTTGCGCGCCCTTGCCGCAGCCAGCGCGTGCCCTCAGCGCGGAGCTCGCAGCTCAGAGCAGCGGGGAAGGACAAGTGGCAGTGATGAGAACGAACAGGCGTGGAGCGATGGCGCTCAGCAGGGTCGCGCGAAGCTTGGAAGCCTGCTGCTGGCAGCTAGCTGGCCCCAGAGGTCGGGGCCGCCGCCCAGAGGAGGAGGAGGAGGAGGAGGAGGAGGAGGAGGAGGAAGGAGGAGAGAGAATAGAGAGGAGGAAAGGGGAGGAGGAGGAGGAGGAGGAGGAGTAGGAGGAGTAGGAGGAGGAGGACGAGGACGAGGAGGAGGAGGAGGAGGAGGAGGAGGAGGAGGAGCCGACGGGGCCGCCGCCCAAGATGCAAGGGGAAGCCCAGTTCGCCTCGCCCCGCCTGCTCCTCCTCGTCGCCCGCCGGTTCCAGGAGGCCCAACACAGGTTGTAAGCTTCCACAAGCCCCAATCATCGAAGCTAGAAGCTCGCGGCCCTCGAACATCGGCTCTCGAGCCTCGACGTCTCCATCCCCGACGTCGTGGCGTTGCTTGCTGCAGAACGTGGAGCCCCCAAAAGACTCGACCGCCTCCCCGAGACCGAATCTTCGTTCTACGGCTGAGCATGTGAGCGAATAACTCATCACTTAAGAAACCTGAGCTCTCGGACATCTCTTAAGACAAAATTGGTCCAACTGTTTCTGTTAACGCTGGAAGGGAAAACGTGCGCAGGCAACTGGGCCAGATTCCTGGCAACCTTGCGAAGAAACGCTGGCACAACTTTTCGGGAGGACGCCTCTTAATCAAATGCTCGACTGTAAGCCGTTTCCTGCCAGCCCTGGGGCCTGGTGTGTATAATGAAATAAAGCCATAAACATGGCGTTCCGCGCGGATCTCTTATACAAGGAATCCGCGCGGAGCGCCGAAAGCTAATATCTATGACGTGCTGCACTTCTACGAGTGAGGGCCCTGGGCACCGAAAGTGACAGCAAAAACTTCTGCCGCGACCCCTCCGAGGCGCGACTCGGTCCTGGAACCTCCACGCCGCGGCTCTCGTCGCGCCCAGGGAAGAGACCCCGCCCGCCGAGGCCGCCGCCCAACAGCCGGGCGAGCACGGACTCCCAGCCTGTGGGGGCCTTCTGCTCCTCGCGTGCGCGGGGGGTGTCGGCGCAAACCGCCCGCCGCTCGACGACGACGACGACGACGACGACGACGACGACGACGACGACGACGACGACGACGACGACGACGACGACGACGGCGGCGGCGACGACGACGACGACGACGACGATTGGCGGCGGCGGCGGCAGCGACGGCGGAGTGCCACGACCACGGCGACGGCGACGCCGGCGGCGGCAGCGGTGGCAAAAGCGTTAACGACGAAGACGACGGCGAAGACGGAACCAGGGCCGGGACAAAATCGGAGAATGAAACATCGGGAATCTCTAAGATCTGGCGAATCTGGGCGATGTATTAGGCGCCGTGGCCGTTCCAGAGCGCTCCAGAACACCCCGAGAGCGTTCCAAAACGGTCTGGGACGATTAATCCGTCCGACAAGTGGCGGCGGAAGCGCCGCCTCCACCACCGTCGTCGCCGCCGCCGTCGTCGTTGCCGGTTTCGCCGTCGTCGTCGCCGCATTTGCCGCAAACGTCGGGGGGGGGATGCCGTCGTCGTCCGCGCCGTCGCCGCCGCCGCGGTCGACGTTAACATCGTCGTCCAGCGGGTTTCCTTTTTCTCACAGGGGAGGCCTTCGGCGGCTCCCTGGCGGCTTCTCGCGCGCATTCGGAGTCTTGCAGGACTTCGCTGGCCCCCTGGGCCTCCTATCCCCCCGCGGCCCGGGGCAACCTCGTCGGCGTTCTTGCGACAGCGGGCTGCGACGTGAGCCTTCTCGCCGCGTCGGCAATGCCCCCTCTCGCTGGTCGGCGCGCATCCTCCCTGATCGCCTCTTGTCCAGCCCGGGGCTCGGCTCCCCTGGCAACTCCGTTAGGACCCCCCAAGCAGCCTCCCGTGCCGTGACCTCGCGGCCAACCCTTGATGCCTCGATGAGCCCCTGTATTTCCACCTGCCTGCGCCCCTCGGTGACTCTGTTGCACTCTCCTCTTGTCCGCCTCCTTGTCCTCTTGCGGTCCCTGAGGTGGCGCAGTCCTCAGAAATGTGCCACTGCCATCCGCGCCTGCAACATATGGACCGTTCTGCCTTTACCTTTTTCTATACAAACTTCGTTCGCGTTACCATTCCAGGAAATATCTCCCACGCTTCAGGACCGCCAGTTGTCTACCTCGTCAAAATAAGCTGCATCGTCTCTGTTGGCGCCCCAATTTCCACCATCGTCGCCGTTACCCTGGCCAACGAGCCAATGTCCATTGCATCGGTGCTCTTCGCATCGGCGCCCACTCCTTTCTTCCTTGCCCAATCCTCGCACTTCGCAAAAATATTCGGGCGGGCGTCGATGTTCAAAGACTCTGGGGCGTCGAAGCAATCTCGTCGTCAGTCATCGACGTCACCCCCGAGGCTGCAAGCCTGAGGTGGCAGTGGCATCGAATGGGAAACCCATGCTGCCCCAGGGGTTCAACGAAGGCGCCCCACTGTTCAAGCTGCACAGCCGCGCCGTCCATGTTTGGGCTCTTCAAGGTTCATGGCCAGATTCGTCTCGCGCGTAAGCGCAGCTCCGGTAACCGCAGAGTACCGCTGGTTCTCTTTTAGATAAACCAAGAAGCCGTCTCCTTCGTGTAGACCCTTACGTTTCCCCCGTGGTTATGTTTCCTCCAGTTTGTCCTTGAACAGATACCAGCGGTCATCATTCCACCTGGCATTGTCGTCTTCGTCTAGCTCAAATTCGCCTTTTTCGTCATCTTCATGTTTCTTGATTCCCCACGCCTCGGTGCAATCGCTCAGCGTTAACCCCCCGTGCATGATCTTTACCAAGTCGTCCTCTTCGTCGCCGGGCGATGCCCCATCGATGGCTTGGAGCTCGGCGCTCGAAATTCTCGAGGGTTTTCCGATAACCGCGCATCACTCAGGCGAGTGCAATCAACGGCTTTCCGCCCCACGCCGTGAACTTAGCCCTGTTACCTGCAAACGCTTCGAACTGTCGAACAGCATCGCGCGGGGTCGCTGGCGCCGCCAGCACAGGCGCATCGCGCAAACTGCATTGCCTCAACGATCTTGGCAGCGTACTCCGAGGCGTTCGCTTGATATTGGAAGTACTTCCTCGCGTAATCTTCCAATTAATTGGATTGTTCCTCGCAGCGCGCGCTGCAACTGATAACTGAGATCAGCAGAACTTTCATGTCTTACCTCATCTAGAACCTTGCGAAAGCCTCATCGTCGCCGACAGCCCGGGCGCCCCGCGCAACACTGCGCTCGAAAAACAAACAAAAATTGCCTTCGCGGTTCGCCTCGGGCGCCGCGGTAGCGCGCCCAGAGTTCCCAGTCTTCGGGCGACGTTGCGCAACGTTCGCCCGGTTCGGCCGCGCCAGATCGCCGGCCCCGCCGCGGCTGCCGCCGCGGCAATTGCCAGAAGGGAAATGCCCCTCGCGGGGGCCGCCGCCGCGCCTGGCGAGGAGCCGCCGCAGCTCCCGCGCAGCGCAGCGGCGAGGATCAGTGCGGCGGAGGCATCTTTGTCCCCCCTCTGCAAGGGCAAAGTGCCTGCGGCGAGGCGAGTTCTATGCAATTCTGCGCCGCGCACGCTCGGCCGCCGCGGCGGCCGCCCTCGCCGGGCGCGCCGGCGCGCCGCGGGCTCGCGCCCCCTCGGCCGAAGCGAAGCCGTAGGCCGCCGCCACCGACGCCGCAGGTGGCAGGATGAGGACGCCGTCGGCCGCGCTGGAGGAATCCAGGGTCTGGAAGCCAGCGGCATTCCGATTGTGGATCGGCCATGGATGACGCCGCCGCCCTCACGAGAGAAGCGATCCCCAGGGTCTGGAGCCTCCTGGGCGCATTCCTTAACCCTAGTCCCCACCGCATTGGCCGGCCCGGGCAAGGTCGCCACCTGCGGGGGGGAGGGCCAAAGCACCTCGGCCAGCGCTCAGGCCCACCTGCGATGGGCGAGCCATCGCGCGCATCCGGGGAGACGGGGCCCTGGCAAAACTGCACGGTCATGCAGCTGTCTAAGTCCGAGCTCCGCGACTGACGACGCAATCCTTAAAAATTCCGGCCGCGCACTCAAGGAGAGACGGGGGGGGGAAGAAGGACGCGCACTGCTCGCAATGCCGCTGCCACGACGCGCGGCGGGCAAGTCTGACCGAGAAGGGCAGAATAAACGGCAGAGCGCGGCGCCCAGCGGCCCGGCGCCAAGCCAACATTCCGATGGCCAAGCCGCCTACGAAGGAATGCGCCCACCTGGGTTGGCAGACGCTCTGCCGGCAAAAATCGGCGCAGGCTGGCTTGCCAGCCTGCCTTGAGGGAGAGCCGGCCCTCATTCGAGATCTCTCGCGTTAGATGCTGGCCGCGTCGCAGCTCCTCCCCGGCAACGCGGCCCGCCGAAGCCTCCAGAACAGACGACGCGTTGCTCGCCAGCCACGCCCCGACAGCCTCTGCAAAGAACTGGCGCCCATCGCTCTGGAGAAGCAGGCGGAGCCTGCGCGCTCCCACGCTCGCCTGGAGCCCGCCCTGCTTCGGCGCCTCGGTGTGGCGGGCGCGATCCCGGGCCGCTACCGTCGCACAACGCATGTCCCTCCACTCGCAATCACGGGAAACCAATGCGGCGCGGCTGCGTCGCGAGGTCTGGGATCGCCCGCGCGCGAGGTCCCCGAAGGAGCTCGGCTCAGACCCGCCCCCCCGCCTCGTCGAAGCGGGCCCCCCGCCTCGTCGAAGCGGGCAGGCGGAGGCCGAAGTTGCGCCGCGAACGTGATCTAGACGAGCGCGCTCCACTACTCGCAGAGTAAGTACTTGCAAATGGCCTCGATCCGCCGCGGGGGATCTACGATAAAGCTCGCCGGGAAAAACACCTCTTGTTCTGACGTTTGCGAGTAGGCACTTTCTGCGAGCAGTGCAACGCGCTCGATGATGATCGCCGAGGCCACGCGCGCGCGCGCTCGGCCGCACGGGCGCGACGGGGACCCGCGCGGGCGCGCGGCAGACCGCGCGAGCGCCCCCGGGGTGGCCGCGCGACCCAGCAGGGCGCCCACAGAGGGGGGCCTTCCGCGAGCCCCCCGCGGCGCCGGGGCCCAAGACGAAGCCGAGGCATTCAGCATCACCCCTGGTGGCCATGGCCGCCATGCCGGCGCTCGCCGGAGGATCGCAGCCCGGAGGCCCCTCTCGTCGCAGGCGGAAAGGGGAGGCAATCACCGCCTCCTGGAAGGTGATCTTCAACCCAGACGTTCGCGCACACTCCGCGAA